AGGCAGGGAGTCCTTTAATTATTTGAATTGGCTGGCACATCTTTTCAATTCCAATGCGGTCTTGATCGTCGTTCATATAGGAGGAGTTATTTCAATTAATCAAGTCTAATAAACATGAAAACTAAAAAGAAACAGAAGAAAAACGATCAAATCCAATGAAAAAGCAAGCCAATCAACGAAAAATATCACGTCCTATTGATCGGCTGGAGGCGGGGTGAGTACGGTAATTGCAGTCACATTTGCCGCATGCCGCAAAGGAGAATGCCGCGATAGGGGAGAAGTTCCGTTACCCGCGCTGTCATCACCTTCCTAAAACCGCTTTTGTGGCACGCACGCTACCGCCGTCGCAGCACGCACGCGACGTACGGACGGACGTCGAAGTCTGAAAGCGGCCAAACACATCTTCACCACCATGATGCGATGCAGGTGGATCAATCGCTTGTATGGTTTTGGGGCTTTTTCTCCTATAAGTTACTAAATCTTCCGCGAATTCTATTTCTTGATGAAGAATGTTTAGTTCGAATGCAAACACACTCTCAGTGATCAGCTGCTTGAGAATGTAACGATTGAATTAGAAGACGATGAAGGAGATTGGTCTACAGAAAATGTGATTCTGATTAACAATTTGCCTTATAATGAAACCAAATCTACTTATGTGCTCATGGACTTCTCGCAATCAGGTCTGATCTCGATGCATTTATAGCGGCTTTTTTCAAAAATGCTTTGACATCAAACTACACCTTAATATTTTTCCTTTTTAAACTTTGAGATTTTATGTAATCCAGGATCGCATCTAAAAATATAGGCAGTCTCCGGTGCTTGGCATAGTGCTTTTCATTGCTTCCTATATGTGTACTGGTGAACTGTACTTTCTGTTGAACAACTGATTTTCTCAAAAGTTATTTAGGGCTCAGTTACTGGAAATTCGCTACAACTCTAAAGTTCAATGTGAACGAAGTCGATCCAACAACCGGCGAAGCCAGATTCGAAGGACACTTACGAAGATAATAGTGGGTAGTGAAGTTTTCTTCTTCAGTAAAGGTTGCGTGAAGTTACTGTGCATTTTTTAACCATAACTACGGGGTAAGGTGAAGGCGTTCTATAAGGTGAAAAATACCGTGGACTCGTCGGCACATTCAGTGTTTAAGTTCAGATCGTTAATCTAACAGGAATTGTTTTAGCTTGAAGAACTCGAATTGGCCGTGGGTGATTTGGTAGCACCAATCGATCGGCAGAATTTCATGGATCTTGAGAAGCACTCGAAGGAGCCGCTACAGTTGACTAAAGCTTCTCGCTAACTGCAGTTATCACTTTGTCAGAGGCGATTAAGAAGGTCGGATTGCTCATTGTCAAAAGAGTAAGGGTAACTGGTTATTGATAAGTTTAGGTGACGGAACTTATTGTGGCGCCATGAGGGCGTAGTGATCGCGTGCTTGAAGGCAAATCTCAACACTCAGCCATGCTATCAGGAGTTTTCCGTGGAGGATTTGAGGTATTTTAATAAGTAATTTCATGACGAGAAAATCTAATTTCACTTCGAAAAGGATTTGGTGATATATTCTCCTGGGAATTGCTTTCAATTTCACGCTCTAGGGCTCTCCGTCATAAATGAGTCCTCAATCAAGTCTGAAGTATGCTGTACAATGTTCAGGTGTTTGCCCGCTTAAATGTGGCGATTAATCCAGCAGATAAGTCAATCAACATGAACAATCTTGTGTGGTGAGCTTTTCGTCCCAGATTGCTCTTTGCTTACAATGTTTTCCATTTAATCTTCTTTTTTCCCTTGAATAATTTCATCAGCTTTTTTGGTTGAATCACNTAAACGGGGTTAACTTGACACCAGTGCGCTCTCATTTTGTTACCGCGTTTGTTAACCATGATGTAAAGAAGCGTTGACTCACACCGCTGTGTTTATTTTGTGTCTGCAGTGTTATTATCTGGATGCATTTACATTCTGGGACACTGTGTGAAGTGAATATAAACCTGAGCCATTATCATCCTTAAATTACCTTCTGACAAATCTTGTGGTTGTAATCATTTTCGTCAATGCGAATTCGTATGCAAGTTTCTAATGTTCTTAATAGAAACTCTTTTGCGTTTCTATAAAAGGAACATTTAGTAAGTGCGAATTTCACCATTTTCGACTGGCTATCACTGCGGGTGATGCCTTGAAATGATTCAGCTGGCTTATATCGAAAGGGAACGGGAGCTAGTTTTTGGGAAAAAATGCTATTGTACAAAAATTCCCTTTGACAGACCCGAATCACCTAATCGACCTCTTTTCTTCCAAGAAATTTCTTCTTATTTTGGCATCGGGACAATTCTTCCACGCTCTCATTTTGCTTTATGTAATGATTGTTTCACTTGCACAAAAGGTCTGCACTCATGTAAAGCCATGATGAAATAGGGCTTGTCTCAATGTAGGAGTGCTTTTATATGACCTGAAGGTCAAGTGAACCTGCTATTATTATCTCAACCGCTAAATCTAGAGTCTGGATGAGGTTTTTTTGACAAAACATAGCGGCTGACGGTAAGATTTTTCAGCCAACTAGACATTTAGATCATATGGTGTCTAGATGATAAAGTTCTAACTTCAATAACGATCTCAAAAATAGCTTCTTTGGAGTTTCTTGAGTTCTCTAACCATGCATAGCATTTTTTACATTTCCTCGTTTTCAATTTCCCAGTACTGGTTGAACAACAGTGGGTTTAATTTTTTTAATTAAAGGTTATTTTAATTAAAGGTTAAAGGTTAATTAAAGATGATTAAAGGTTTTATTTTTTAATGAGTTTTAATGTTATTGACCTTTTTTAATTGCAAGCGAGGAAGGGGTCACGAGTTTCTATTAATCGTCTGCAGTAGGAATCCTCATCGCAATCCACTTGTTTTGTTTTTTTTCCCATACCAAAGGAATTTTTGTTGTGTCATAAGGATAGATTTTGCGATCATCTAATCAATAAACATGTGTCATCGGGAAAAGATATCTTTTTCATCATTCATACCAGCTGATCTGCGAAGGTGTTCATGTGATCTGTAGATAAGGTCTAAATTTCTGCGGATAAAACCCTCCTCTGATGTGCCAGTAATGCCGTGTCGTCATCGTGACTGCTTTCAACTCCCAGAAAGCGTTGCAAATAGAATGCTGCTCTTTAATAGAAAACTTGGCTTTCTCAATGTTCTTGAAGGGGTCTTAACTGTTTCTGCTCCTTTGTTTATCTTCCTGTTACATTTCCTTTCTTTTCCCTAGTGAGTTTTTAAAGTCCAGGTTTGGTTTTCATGAGACTTCATTTCCCGTCTTAAGATTTTTCGAAATCATGGCCTCTACCTAATTTCGATAAGTTTGATTCAAAGAAGTTCAAATTCTCTCAGGTGGTTAGAGGCATGGAGGGGCTCTTGTACGAAATAAATGTGAAGTTCAAAGTTATGAATGAATATCAAAATATGTAGCATTCATTATTCTTTCTTCGGTGACATTGTTAAACCGCTAATTTGAAAGCGATTGGCATTGTGCATGAGAGAGGTATTTAATCTAATCGACAGTACATATTCGTGAACATCAAATAGTGAGCGAATTTCATCGAACACAGTTGTCTTTGAAGAAAGTTTGTTATGATTTTTCTGTGAGAAAATATAACTTAGACTTTCGAAAGTAGTCAAATCGTGAACAGAGGGCTCCTCTTAGTGTAAGCTATTCCTGTCCTTGTGTTAAAGTTCCCACATCCCGTATAAGATTGTAACGAAACTCAGCGATTCCGTGGTATCGCTGTAATTTTTTTGTCTTTGGAAGTAATGCTGTCAAATGTTAATCAAATCAAGTCGATTGGTTGTAACACAGTGAACTCAATTAATACGAGGGTTGATTTTCTCGGTGGCTAATATTATCTTACAATTAGAGGATAGATTTTTGGTGTTGATCAATCCTTTCCCGATATACTTATACCCTACTTTCATTGAAAATCGTAATGGCAACGCATTGATTGTGTTCTAAAGACGTGCGGTAGTCATTCGATACAAATGTTAGTGCTTTTATCCTCCCAAACACGTTTGATGCTAACCTACCTATCTTGGAAGGGCGGAAAGCTCAGTTGTCTTGGGCACGTATCGAACCGAGATGCTATCCTAGGGCTTTGTATGCGATTAGCCCCACAACGTCTACTCTCTGAATTTTACCACCCCCTATTTTTCACTTCATTCTTTTTTCCACAAAAATTTAGAACTTTTTTAGCTGAAAGCAGTCCGACGTGGCAGAGTTATTGGTGAGTGCTATTGTTTGAAATGTTGGCTTAATTCTTAATTATATTTGTTGGTCGCTGTATTGGTTTTTTTGGTGGTTTTGTGATAATTAGTCGTAATATACTGGAAGTAGAGTGTTTTGTTAATCGGTAAGGTTCTGTGATGGCGACATAATTTAAATATTGAATAGATCTTATCTTTGCTTCATTCTTGTTCACTCTCAGGTCTGTCAGGGTCGGGATTTACACTTCAGAGTATTTTCGCGTTTTTAAAGACAATCTTTTTATTGTATCTTTTTTTTGGTGAACGAATAAAAGTATGTTACGGCCTCTTGTACTCGGTATAGTGCGCGTTGACAATCTAATTTTGCCGGTTTAACGTTTTTTATTCAGTCATTCACTCATTATTTACAATTCGACTTAATGTTGATCATATTATTGCTCTGCATAATTGGTGTGGTCTCTGCGAATACGGAATGTATTTGGGCAATAGGAAAACTTCAATGTAGGAAGAATCAAACGCGAGTGCTGAACACTGTGGTCGAGGTGTGGGACGAGGATGCGGCTTTTGTGAGTTGTTTTCCGATAATTTTTTGAGCAGAAATGACCTTTAAAAACATATAAATTTTTTTCAAATCTCTCAGTATTACACGAAAAGAAGAGTTCTGCACACTTCTGTTCATGAAGTATTGTAGATAATCCTACTTATATAATCGGCTAAGTGTGTCTGTTGGTGTGTTTGTGTGTGTGCGCGTATGTGTGTGTGTGTCTGACGGGCGGGCGTAAGAGTACGGGCGGCAGGATCAGAACACTTATGTTAGGTGGTAGGATCAGACTCCGCCCACATTGGGCGGAGTTTGAGCGCAAATTCATAACTTCTGCCCCCGTGGACCTAGAACGTTCAAATTTGGTAGGAGTACAGGCGACAGGATGGGAACACTTAGTATAAGTGGCAAGAAAGGACCTCGCCCACAGGGGCGAAATTTGCGCAAAAATTGACAGTTTGGCCATAGGGCGTTCAAAGTAATCCAATTGCACGAAAATTTCACGGAGGTACGCTTCCTTAGCCCATCTGTCCTTTCTCTGAATAATCGCCTTTGTGATATCATACGATGTTCTTATCGAACACAGCGAAGATGGCTTACAGAAAAATCGCTCCCAATTCGGAGCTACTACTGAGGGTGTAGAGCTTTCAAGGAAAAGGAGAATTCGAAGAGTTATTTACGCATAGCAGATTTCTTACAGGAAGGAGGACCGCCCGGAGCAGCCGGGCGACACCACAAAAAGGAGGGAAGCCCGGCATTAGCCGGGCGGTCCGACTGGTCACAATTTATTTTTATTCAATCAGCTAGTGATAGAAAAGGTCCTTTCTTTCGCTGCCATCCATCCCTTAACAGTCTTTAATTTTTTACGCCAATTTTACGGATTTTCCCTCGTTTTGAACACTATCGGCAAGTAAATCGTTTCAGGATCTTACTTATTCCAGATTCCACAACTAAACTTCTTGAATCGTGACGATAAAGCTGGCTTCACGGTGGTTACCAACGTAGACGGGGAATTTAAGATAGAAGGTACTGTTCTATGCTTTTGGTAAGTAAAGTAGCGTTTTGCTTTATTATCCTTACTCTACTATATTAAGCGCTCGCGTCTGTCTGTCTGTTTGTTTGAACGGAAATTCGATATTACCTGAAAAAGCACCTGCAGAAGTCGGGACAAGTTTGGGATGGATTGAGCATAGGGTAAGTGCAACAGGCACATGCGATCCTAGCGGAGCCCGCCACCAAGGGGTGGGGCATGCACCGGAATTGGGCGGGGTCATGAGCAAATTCCTCTCATTCGGTCTCATAATAGTCCAGACGCCGGAAAAAATGCGCAAAGGTGAGGGATGTGTCAACAATTAAAATAAAGGGGACCTAACCCGCGGTGGGCGGAGCGTTCTCGCTGTAGGCGGTACTTTCCACAGGAGTTTATAACTCGATTCAGCGGAGGCGTCGAGGCCAGGAAAAGTAATAAAAAGAGTGTGCAAGGCCTCATGCGTGCTAGGCACGCGTAAGATTAGCGAAGCCCCGCCCACGGTGGACGAGGCGTGCGTTAAGGTAAAAGCTACTTTTCAAAAGGGACTGTAACTTCGTTGAAAAACGTTCTAGAACGCGGGAAAAACGTGGTTAGAGGTAATGGAACAAATGTGGTCAAATCCCAGAAGTGGACAGGGCTTAGATCAAAAATACATAACTCTGTTCAGAAACGCTCTCGGATGCGGCAAAAAGGTGTTAAGATGTAAAAGAACGAATGTGGTCAACTCCCACAAGTGGGCGGGATTGGTACCGAAGTAGGCGAGGGTTACATCACAATTATTAAGTCTCTTCAGATGCGTTTTAGAACGCGGGAAAAAAGTGTCTGGAGGTGATAAAAGTAATATGGTTCGAAGTCTAAAGTGGGAGGGGTTTGCAAAGAGGGGGGCGGTGCTGAGATCGAAAATTTATACATCTGTCTTTCACACCAACCCTGACCGCATAGGTGTACAACTAGGTGATACCACTAAACTCTTTCAAAGATTAGGCTAAGAATTTTTCAAAAGTTGGTGCCCACAGTAGTCCCTTCTACGCAAGAGCAAATGCACTACATTAACATCAGATCTCATAAAATGAATTCTACAGTAACCCCGGCCACACAGGTGCATACCCTGTAGAGACGTGAAAGCCCCTACAACTACCCAAAGGGACTGTCTTTCAAAGTTAGTGTTCATGGCGACACAGCCAAAACTGCGCAGGAATTCTTCGACTACATAGACTGCAGAGGTATTTGGTTGGATACATCGGAGTACTCTACAAGGCCGCACACGGCCCCATTTCACATCCCGAAAAAAGTGATAGCCGCTACAAAAGTTTCAGGGAAAAGGTTCAGTTGATAAAGGTGAAAATTAGAAGCTCATGTGGCTCCCTCCTGGCTAGAGTCCCCAGCGCACGCAATAGCGTGCGTAGCCACCTGGTATTTATCTATTTGTTGCAGGGTGTGCCGCTGATTACGATCCGTTGGGGCCTCTTCTTCCTCCGAATCGACCAGACTTCTACTTATACATCAGGCATAAGTGCAATTCTGAGTCAGTCTTAATTAGTACTTGAAACAATTGGACGCTTATAATTGAATTTATTTTTTTTGTAAAATGCACAAGCAAATTGCGCGTAATTCCTACTAAAGCATTACAAGTCCTTTGCATTTACTTACCACTTTTGCTGGAAGGATCTGATTCACTACTGAAATTTTCGTAGTTTGGCTTGATTGGAAGCCGTTAACTTCTTTCGAAAGTTTATCGTCATTTTGGACAGGTGAGCTCAGAAACAAAGAGGATTTTGTGTCAAATTCAACAAGAAGGCGAATGCGGCCTTTTTTTATTGTAAAACTCCGCTCTGACTTTTACTTGGTTGCTTTGTTTTTTTCAGTTTTTTTTGTAAAACTGATCATTTTCACGTGAACTATCTTTAGTAGTATATCATTCCGCCTTTTATCCAGGATGGAAGAGTTCTCCGTCTTCCCTCCGACGCAGGTCTTCGCACCTCGCACGTTGGACTTCTTTTTCAAGGAACCGATAGTGCTCGACTTCTCGGGTTGGGTTGGAATAGATGATCAGTTTAGATGATAGTTGGAGCTTTACAACGATTCATTGTTACAAGGTTTCGATAAGATTACTTTGCAATTTGAGAATTTTTTTATTTAGATGTTCATAAATGATTTCCACTTTTCTGTTTCACTGAACTAAGAAGGTTTATTTTCCTCAATCTGATTTATTGAACAGTTACAATGATTTGTATGATTTCGGTTGTCTGCAAAACTAACTTCTAACTACTTCTTCCTTCGCTCACTTCTCGAAGTATGACTACCTGCTCTTGATTTCCTGGTAAAGTAGAAAATTCCCAAAGTTTTAGTGGTTACTTTCTTTATGCGTGTGGGAATGTTCATGTCTATCCTGAATTTCGTATTCTAGGGACACATTGGGTGGAGCTATGAAGTTTGAGTGTGATTCTCGGAATGGTCTGCGGCTTTTTTTNTTTTTTTATGCTATTAACCTTTTAGTGGCCTTTTCCGTTTACAAACCCTTTCCACCAAAACTGGGAGCCAAAAATTGGCTTGTGTTTTCGACCCTTGGTGAAAGTGAACTCTCGGGAAAAAGCGTTGATTTGGATTGCACGATGTTTCGACAGTTCTCCGGTAATGAGCAGTAGAAAGAAAGCAAGTGCGTGACCATAATGTCTGTCTTGCCTCAGTGCCACCCGAATGAAACCGGTATCTTATTAGTCAATGAAGGTTGAATGGTGCAGTCTGGGCTGGAGCTTCTTCGATAGCTGCAGCCCAGATACTTAATTGCATATAAATGGATAAAGATCTAGAATAAGTACATAGGATTCTTACCTCTCATCGTATTCGTGGCTGGAGAAGCTAGCGCTTCATTTTCCCCTTGTTTAGAAGCGCTGAATTAGGCTCAGGGTTCGAGATTTTACCCTGGTGGCTTTTTTCTTCTTCCATTCATTTTTCTGTTGCCATTACGGGCACCAGGGGAAATCTTCTGCAAAGATCTTGGAAAACCCCACTAAGTTAATGACAGTCAAAGTTGTGAGAATTTTTAGGGTCGTTCAGCGCCTACTGAATGTGGTCCGAGTGACATTTCTAGGTTATTGAACGGAACCCCTTACATCCGTAGCACAGAGGGAAGAGAGGATAAGGCCGGATACGCTGGATAGCTCTGAAGTTGTGGGGCTCGGGAGAGTTGTTGATATCGGATAAAAGCATGACGCACTAGGAGGTGGTTGGTGACATAGATGGAGGGAAGAACGAAGAGAGAAGAGTCTTTCTCATTCTTTTTTTCTTATAGTAGGTACTGAATCATAGTTGGCTCATTGCAGTGTTTGCGGTAATCTTTGAAACATCAATTTTTTGCCAAGCTCTTTGGAACAATACATGAACTGCTGAAGTGAGCAATCAGCAAGTTTTCAAGTGGGCAAGTTGCATGAACTTCCCTCTATTGCTATTACGAACGGTATTTCTCAGCGCTTTTTCGAAAACTATTACAACACCCAATTACTAACATTCTGCCTAACTGGAACCTATGCATCGGTCGGCCATAGCAGTTGATAAGTTATAAGTGCTCCCGATTACTCATTCCTTTTCGTGTATTACATTTTGGGAAACTTTCAGCGGGTTCGGTACATGGTATAAATTCATGATGTATCCTTTAGCAGCAATGTTCTCTGTTGTCACAGAGCTCAATGTTGTCTTTCCCAAATACCCGACCTATGTTGCGGGGTATTGACGCCTGTGGCGTTATCGATTTTCTCGAGGGCTTCACCGCCCACGAACGTAAGGGCATGAACGGGATAAGTGACTTCCCTCAGCTCAATTGTCTCGGTTTTCGACTCTGCTTTATGTCGTGAAACTTATTTGAATTGCTTATTCATGATAGAGGTGTTAGCTTTAACTAAAAATGCTTGCATATGAACGAATTTGGTGTCAGCAGTTGGTGGTTTCTGAGGATGACGGGATGTTGGGATTGTTTGCGATTCTGCCACCCTTGTTGGATAAGCGAGCCGCTTTCCTGAGCTCTTCCCTTTTGAATAGATATGAGTCAAGAAGAAGGTAGAATGTTGAATGACGATCATTTCTCGTTCGCGATTTTTCAATCTCTTCAGCCTTTTTTTTTNTTTTTTTTTTCATTACTTTTATGTGGTACGTTTTGCATCCTATTAAAAACCATTAATTCATTACTTACATAACTTTGATTCTTTATTACGTCTTTCAAGTAAATCCACTACCTTGTCACAATCCAACGGGCCCAAATCGTTGCTTAAAAGCAGGGGTCTTGTTCTTAGAAATACAGAAAGGGAAAGCCCGTGCAGGAATTTGGTTCTTATTGTAATCCAGCAGCGAGTCCTGGTTTGTACGCTTCGAAGCGATGCAGACAGGTGACTGCCCAAATACTTCGCCCGTGCCCTTGCCCGTGGATTTCTTTCTGACGGGAATGAGGCATGTGCATCCAGGAGGTTATGTATGGCATGAAATGAAAAATGTTGTCCGTTTTAAGGAGTTCTGCGTGCATAACGCTAGATACCACCGTGTGATAAATTGGCCAACCGGGTTCTGTCAGTTTCGTACTTTTTGGAAAAATCGCTTTCTCGATGGGTTCTGGGACATTCTTCAGTGTATCTACGTCAGCATAATTTGCTTAAATATTCAGTCTGTTTTGATGAGACCCCATGAGATGGACCCACTTTTTCGTGCTACGCATACTTTGTCGTTGTCCTACCGCTGTATAGAGTTTTAGCTCTATTAGACCCCGCTATTCAAAAGTTCTTATGGAGTACGCATTTCGGTGTACTTTGTGGTAGGTGATCGGTGGCAGACAACGGGAAGAACGGACTTCTAGCAATGGCTGGTAAATCCTTTGAATAGAAAGCATTTATATTTGCCTTGGTCTTACAGTTTCGTCAGGTTACACTATTTCACCGTGACCTTTACGATAGCAGGCAGTTGTGCTGACATACATCTGGTTTTGTTATGAAGGTGTGATTCATCGCCTACGAAAAAACTGCTTCGTATCCGTAACGGATCGCCGTCATTGATCAGTTTTCCCGATAGTTATGTTTATTTGGAGATCCTCTGGAAAGATTAGGGTCTGATTACTGTACTCACTTTGCTGCATCGTTATTCTTACAACAAAGTTACTGTGGGAAATTTCTGGAATCTGCAAGAAAAACTCGAATTTTTTATCCAATGATACGCTCAAATGCTTGCTTGCATTGTTTATTCGTTGGACTGGTGTGTGACAACTTCCACTAGAAGAACTTGATTGAGGGGAGATGAATCACGGAATTAACGCGGCCGTAAGAAGATGTGTAGCACGACGCGCCCCTCTCTATCCGTTCACCAAATTGGTTACGGTCGTCGACCGTATTGGAAGTCGTTTTTGGACGTACGTTTCCTGTTAAGGGAACTGTTCAAGGCCGGGGTTAAAATTACTAACAGTGCCCTTTGTTTCGTTTCATCAAACCTCACCCACTTGTTGCTTCCCCTCCCACTTTTTCTTCTCTCTCTCTCTCTGAAACTCAGATCTCTCAGGCCTCTCTCTGTACAGTCATGCTGCGATATTGGAGAAGTTTGTTCAGCTTCTCACTGAAAGGTCCCGTTNTACTAACAGTGCCCTTTGCTTCGTTTCATCAAACCTCACCCGCTTGTTGCTTCCACTCCCACTTTTTCTCCTCTCTCTCTCTCTGAAACTCAGATCTCTCAGGTCTCTCTCTGTACAGTCATGCTGCGATATTGGAGAAGTTTGTTCAGCTTCTCACTGAAAGGTCCCGTTGTGTCACCATTGTGCGTCTTTTATAGGAGGTTTGCGTGGCGCTTATGTCGGCGATGGGGTCATGGGACCTGTTTCTGACTAGGTGTCGATTGAATGTTGAACACATCCACTTAATCCTTCTTTTCTATGTACCGATTTACCAAAAAAGTGCCGCCAACAATCGATGAGTTGACCGAGCTCAGCTGGTCCCCTTTTTCATTGTGTGATTTCTGAACACATTATGTAGTTTCAAAGATTTTCAGGGTTTTTGCATGGCCCTCGAGAAGGGACGTGTATGTCAACATCTCGATTTCTTTTTTTATTGACTGCTTGCTATTGGCTAAAAATCGTTTACTTACCTTTTTCTTATCATTATGGTGTAATGAAAGAGGAAACTCGCCTTTCATTTGCACTTTTTATGGATCGAATCCTGTTGTATCGTCCAATTTCCCACTCCGTTGGAGTTCGGCTAATCAATATCCAGTTGATAACCAGATTCGTGCGAGACGATTTTTCATCATCAGTCATACCAAATGATACTGCGCGATCCAGTACAATAAGTGGACACTTTCTGAAAGAAATAAGTAGCGCTCTTTGACAAATCTGATCAACACTAGCCACTTATCTTTATTCTTTTTTTTTGATGTGTAAGTGGGGCGGTAGTCCCCAAAGGAACGAGTTCGTGATGAGTACCCAACCGGGCTCGTACGCCGAACGTAGCGGCCTATACATCACGCGTTTGGCCTTTGATTTTCAGAAAGTCGGGGACTGTTTGAAATTGCTATATTTCGAACCGTCGGTTTCCTAAAAATAAAGACGATTGTAGTTAAATGAACTGATAATTCCTGATAATTACTGCCATTACTGAAAATTAAGTGATTTTAGGGGATTCTAATAAGCTTGGAACAAAATGAGGAGACTATAAACGATCTTTGTTATACTACGATTGTAAGGGACCCTCAAGATCAGGTTGTAGCGGAATGTGTGCGGTTTGGCTGTCCGAAAAAGTCAACAGTTGTCAGAGTGCAGTGAGTCAGTTGATTGCACAGTTGACCTAGCGGAGGTCGTTCGTCTCGCTAGGCAATCTTCAATCACCGAAAACAACAGCTTCCTTTCCTTCGAGTCTACGAGTAATTTACAGCGAATTCGTTCACCTTTACGCTTTTCTGCTAGAATCGTGCAGAGGTGATGCTCTACATATTTATGTACTGACAGAAAAACTTGGCTCTGAATCGACTTTCCTATCAGTAACTCCGACCATCCTTTTTTTCTACGAGTTCCTTTCGAGTTATTGACTTTGCGATGGAACAAAATGGACGTCTCTTGAGTTTTACAGCTCAATTTGTTGAACAGGCAGTTACTGCTAGAACAGTGACGCATGCCCACTTAGAATTAATTACCTGACCTCAAGTAGCAGAAGAGAGAAAAGAGAGGTTGTCTCTTTCTTTTTTGCAATTTTTTGGATTTTTTTGAACGAGGTCCTGTACACTGAGAGGATTTACCTTGAGAACAAAGAACAAGGCTGTAGATCATTATAAGGAAAATTGACTTGGATTTTTTTGCTGATTAACCCCAGTGTTGGCTATCTATTCGTCATCAAAAAGGTTTTTGGTAATATATAAAAATTTTAAGGGAAGTGGTTGTTGTTGCCTAGTTTTGTACACAGTATTTTCGTACAGTCCAAATGTGGTTGGAATGAACTTTTTCTAAAAAGTGTAGCAAAAAATTGATTTGAAAGAAATATAGGCAACTTCACTTTCGCGTCCCTATGTCCTCTGAGGTTTGGATTATTTGAATACTATCTCGGCTATTATAGTCATTGTAGAGTTTAGGATTCGAACGTCTCTGTGTGCACCATATCAACAGAAATTTTGTTTTAATCCGTTTCCTCTAAGGCAGCAGTTATCCAGAGATTACCTTTATATTTGCAAATGCAGGCATGATCTAGATGAACTATCTAGATCATGCTTGCATTTGCAAATATAAACAACACAACAATATGAACAACTGAGCATATCGAGAACTGTTTTCTGCCTTTTCTTGATACCATGATGAGAGGGAGTGGTGAGCCTCATCTCATTCCATCTACAGCTCGAGCCTCCCTCCGAAAGCAATTGGTGGTCTTGTCGTTTTGGTTGAGAATGATTCGCTGTAACGCTAAGGCTTGGCTCACATTAGTTCAGCTCTTAAGTTCTCTGCGGGCTAATATTTCTTAGGGCAGACATAAAAAAATCGGAAAAAAGTTATATTTGTTGAGACGATGAAGAGATGTTATTTTCAAAAGTCTCATCGTGTGTACGTCATCTCTGATTTTTTACCAGGGATATCTCGTGGAATACGTTTTACGAAAAGTCCCAGGAAAGAATTGGGAGCAGTCTCCTCCCGTTTGCTCAGCATTGATTGGTTATCAGAAGTTTGAAGAAGAAATTTAATAGGAGTGATATTGACATTTCGTTGACACGACGCTTACTGAATCTGTTTATCGTTGTGCCTACTTTTTCAGTCAAGTCAAACAACATTGTCGATTTCAGAAATGATCTCATTCTTGTTGTTGGCCTTTTTCATTCCGATTTCATACGCTGGCAAGGAATGCGTTTGGATTATGGGTCGCGTACAGTGTGAACATGATCCGACCAAAAATCTGAACGTAGAGGTGAGTTTTTCGCTCTCAGTTTTTCAATGGAGTCTTGACGGTCTCGACTCTGTTACGATTATAATTAATGTGAATTCTGGATCTTTTTGAATGTGGTCACTTCCCTCTTCTTCTTTTCTTAGCTTCAATCTTGCGCACCGTATAACTTGTTATCGAAAATGTTGTGTGCTAGCCTAACGCAGTGGTTACCGAATTAGCCGAATACAGGCTTGCCCCTCAACCTCGCTTCATATTGAGACCGCAGAGGGGGATCCTACAGAGAACAATCTCAAGAAGTAGGATCAGTCAACCTCTAGAGTCCTTGTGCGATCAGAAGGTCACATCACAGACCAGAAAAGCGAGCAAGAGTTAGTCAAATGCTAAAATGCAATGCCCATTGGGAGGAGGAGTAAGGGGTGGGGAAGAAAGAGGCTTCATTGAGAAGACGGCTCAGATTAAGACATGAATTGTTAATTGCCAACAAATCCTTAAAATAACAGAAAAAAAAACAGTGGAAGCGTTTTCTTAGATGTGTAGGAAGTTCGAGTTACCCATGATGATTTTTTCGAGTCCCGAATTTTCCCTTAAATAGCATTTCCTCAGCTTGGCACCGTTGATCACACTGCCTATAGCGCCTCTTTCTCCATCTTCCAGTCTGCAGTTCTACCTCCTTCCAATATTCGTTTAATGTTCTGATGTTTCCAAAAAATGAGTTCTGAGAGGTGTTTCACTAATAATTCACTATTTTGGCACATCTACAGTATTGTTTTAGGTTCGTGTTTGGGATCGAGACTCATTCGGCCCGTTTAAACTCATCGATCCGGATGATCTCATGGGGTGAGTTGTATTGACGGACGTGCATGTTTGCTTTATGCATATGGAATCTGCCAACTAATTTCTTTTCGATATTTCACAAAGCCTCCAAATGGACTTTTCTCATAGCGACACTTTGACTATGGTTATACAAGTTGGGCTATACACGCTAACGCGCGCATCATATTATTCAATCAATTAATTGATCTGGATACACCGTGCTGTGGTTATGAAGTCAAAAGCAATGCTCGACATAAAAGTTACTGTAGTGATTGGTTCAAGGAACTTTACTTCGTGAAAAGTAAAAAAAGCTCATTCTATCGCTAATAACAATTACATGTGCTTACCATTTCTAGGGCCCGGTATCTCCTCCCCGAAAACGACGTCGCATTCGCCGCACCCGATCGTGCGCAGTCGCGCGCCTTGAAGGGGAAGATTCAAATTCCCAGCGGAAGGGTAGGGTCGCCGCCCCGTGACCTTTGCCGCTCATCGTGAAAATTCGGGAAGAACTCCCACTTTTATGAGCAAAGTCTTTCAAAAAAAGCCAAGTGATCCTTTTTACCCAAGGAGAAGCAGACACAGAACAGGTGGATATTATCAGTGGAACTTTTTCTCTAAGGATATATTATTAGCGGTTGGATAAGTTTTCTGGCGGATAACATGAAAGCAAAGAGTAACCGTGATCCCTCATTGAGTCACAAACCTTGCTGGGCAGCGCTCACAATATGACCGCACTAAATAAACTGACCTTTCATAGCTCCACAATAAAGAATCTTCAATCGGTCCCTATCACTGCACTTACCACTAACTTTTTTGTCACCCTACCTTATCATATCGTCTTATCGAATCGTACTGAAGAACCAGACCACATACCATACACCGCCCCGGGTCTGTCTACGGCGAGCACTGCCGCCCCGGTGCCGTTCACGGCGGGCACCACTTCTCCGGTGCCGTTCACGGAAGGCATCACCTCTCCGGTGCCGTTCACG